AAAAGATACCTTGGTTTTATTAACTGAGTTGCTAATGTAAATGGATCACTCTAAAGAGTTCTTAAAGCTGACATTTCAAGCAAATTCACAACTATGGTACTTGAACAGACACTAATTTCGTAACACATGTGTGTTGTACAAATCTCAAGCAATTTACAATTCTCTACCTAGGTCCTAAAATTTGGAACTCTCTCCCTATTTCAATCACTCATTTGTCAAACTTTCTTAGCTTTAAGACAAAAATGCAAGAGTTTTTACTTAAATAATCACTGAATTAGCCAAGCCACACATTCATAGCACTTTTTCTTTACTCGTTTTATTATTGTAAGTGAGATGGCTCTCCCATAAGCTTGATGGCTTTCTGGGTCTCCTTGCCTTCTAGCTGTAAATGCTGTAAATAAATCTTTGTATTGTAAAAAATAAGGCAAATGAAGATGATGATGATGATGATTAGCCCTTTGTCAGAGGGTCAGCCCTTCCCTGTTTATGCTAGTGAAGGACCAACACTCGGACAATCAGCTTTAGAGTCACTTTACAGCGGCCACTTCCCATTATCAACTCAGTAGGCAAAACCAAATTATCAAATTAGTGATGGTCTTGAAGTGGTAGTACTTCAAATAACTGGCTCTGTCTGTTCTCAATAAAACTCAAAAGAATTTACAATGGTGAAAAGCCAAAAGACACCAAACTTTCCTGTCCTATTCTTGTTTATTTTCTTTTAACTGTATTATTTAATACTCAAAAATGATTCAATGTCACAGGGGAGTTTATGATCTCAAATCCTGTGAGAACCACAAAAAGCAGGTTAAAGTAGATTAGGGCAGATTTGGAAAGAACTTAGAGAGGAAATTTTGCAATATTTAGAGTGGAAAATCACCTGGTGTGAATATATTGACTGCATTTTACTGCCTTCTAAATTCACCATATAAAACTCTTAAAGTGACTAATTAAAATACCAAAGTAATTATTTGTGATAACACCTTGTTGTAAGTGTCTTTCTTGATCTTCCATGTAGCATTCTTGAAGTATTCTAAGTTTTCCTCCGTAAAGTCAACCTCTTGTATCTTTCTTTTCTGGCCTGTAAATAATTGCAGTTTTCATGGTTCAAATAAGAACCCTTGAAGAAATGGATTGAAAAGAAAAGTATGTATGGAAGAACAGGGGTAAAACTTTAAATGTACCAGGCTATATTGGCATTAGTGACATGTTGCAAGATTCTTAATAAGATTTGACTTCAGCCTCTGCCAAACCCAAAGTAATGCCAGGTTCTCCCAGAACTAACTTAAACGATTACATAAAGATGTCTTTGACCCTGTACAACAGTTATTTTAAAACGTTTATTACAGGGTAGTATTGCAGTGGTAACAGATTGCCATTGAGAAATGACCTTGAATGTTTGCTAATGAATATTTGAGAAAGGCGTAAACAACAGTAACACCAAAAGAAATAAAAGAATGTAGTCGAATTGATTATTAGAGCTAAGAAGTTAATATATAAGGAAACCGATAGTGCCTCTGAAATCCTCTTTCTCTTGCAAAAGCTTATGGCTTGTCACACATCTTTGTAACGCATTCTGCATTTACAAAAACGTTGTGTCCCTAAATCTTTTCGAAAGAGGAACGAACAAGAAAACAATCTCAACACTCCATTCTATCCAGGCGATACAAAGCTGTATCACTTCAGTACCTGATGATAACTGCAAGCCTTTTATTTCGCGTGCGCCTGATTGTTTCTGATTGTTTCCTCTGGAAGTTCTTTTCTGCTTCTTAGCGGGTTGTTTTCCCTTCTGTGTTAACTTCAGTTTTTGAGATCTGGATGTTCCTTCCCCAATCACAAGATCAAGGCCTTTACGAACCAATTTGGAAGACATTTTCAAGGCAACATCAACGCTATTTACATCAATGGATTTTCCCACTCGGTTTTACTGCGAGTCATTCCCAGACTCACCCAGACTTATAAACTACCAACGTCTGATTGGCTGACTATTTTCAAGATCCAATGTTCTTTCGAGCCCGGTAACCATTCAAAATGGCGGCTGTCGGTTGCTTTATATGAGAGTAAAGTTTGGAGAATTAGTGAAGAAATAGCATACCCTTCAAGTAATGAACTTCCTCAGAACTCCAGATGACAGCACTGCTGTTGTGAAAATCATGGGTGAATTCGATCAGTTTCTGACGAGTGACCCGAGGGGCCGGTTGACTTTTGAAGAACCATCGGATGATGGACATGGAAAAAGTCAGAGGCCGTCTTCCACAAGCTTCGCGAAGAATTTGAATAAATCGTGGAGCCAGGGAAGCCTACTGTCTAAAGAGCGTGTCAAAGATGTGGAGCTCATCAAAAGCCGAAGCAAAATTGCGCATCTAGAAAGTCAAATGAATGTCCTGGAATCGGAAAGAAAACGTGCTAGAATCGAGTTTGAAAGGGAGAATGGAAATGACAAGCTCGAACGGTGAAGACTGGAAGAGAAATACGAAGACCTACAACAAAACATTCAGTATATCGCAGAGCAAGAAAAAAACGCTAAAGATCAATTGAAAGATCTGAAAAAAGAATACGAGACTTACCGGAACAAATCGGAGCAAACGATTCAAAACTTGCAGAGGGAAAAACTGAAACTGTCTGCAGAAAAAGACGAGGTACCTACCTTTGTCAGATCTTCTTAGCTTTATTTTTACTTTCTTTACGTTTGAGTTGTTTGTTTTTTTCTAAAGAATGCAAAGCAGAATTTGACATTGTCACTTGAGTATTGAGACTTGTTGAGTTTAATTCAACTTGTTGATCATTTTTTAGTTGCGAGAGGATTCAAGTAAAAAAGAAATGGAGTTGAAGAATTCCCTTTTCAGGTAACTGTTTAGTGAGAGTATTGGACAGATATCTGAAAAGATTTCCATATAACCCTGTACATTAATTATGCATTCCATTTCATAAAGGCTTAATATAAAGGTTTCTTTGCAACACTCTATGCATAATTAATGTGTGGGGTAATATGGAAATCTTGCCAGATTTTTGGGTCATCCTCGGTGTAAAAACCTGACGGGGTTTTCTTTGTTTCATGAGGTATTGTTTTGCTGTACACTATTGTTTATAATGTTTTGTCTTTGTTTTACGTCAATCGTGAGAGTCACAGGTTTTTACACTGAGGATGAGCCAGATTTTTCGCATGAGACACACCACTCTAAAACAAAGCTTTAGTCCTAAAGGTAATTTGTTTTTGCCATCATAAGTCTTAAAAAGCTTTTTCTGTCAACAGGCCAGTTTTTCTCTTCTTAATAACAACAAAAGAGGTCCTCCTTACCAGCTCTAATCCAAGCAAAAACCATGGTCATATTTTCTTGGATTCCCCATGAAGACTCAGCTTTTTTCTCTGTCTCATGCTGGTGACAAGACAAAAAGTATCTTTCTCTGCATGTATTTCTTTACCAAGCTCAAAATTTACCATCTTTCTTCTTCTATCATTATATTGTATATAAAGTTTAAACAATGGGGAATACCTCTTGTAGCGTATTTCCCAGTTTAAGCTGAGTCATTCTGTGTCATGTGACACACTCAAACTGATAAGTTCCATCAGGAGAAATATTTAATGGGTTGTAATCTCTGTATGTATCTTCTCGCCTCTGTGAAGTTATATCGGTAAAGTCTGTTTGTGAGCCAAGTGGCCCATCATGCCGGGGCTTAACCTCAGTTTCTGTAGCATGAAGCGACTAGGAGTATTTCTACTCCCCCCTGGATGGGATGCTAGTCCATCTTGGGGTTGTCCCTGGCATTACATTTTCCAGTACCCATTTAAACACCTGGGTGAAGAAAGACACTGTGAGAGTAGAGTGTCTTGACCAAGAACACAACATAATGTCCCTGGCCAGGGCTCAAACCTAGAGTCAAATTCACTAACCATGAGGCTTCTGTGCCTCCCATTGTAAAGTTATAGAAATAATATATTTTGTTATGGAGACAGTTGTTTTTGTTATATTTCAGACAGGGAACTGAGCTGGCTGTAATGCAAAATAAACTGGGGGATACAGAGGGTCAGCTTGAAAATGTTAAAAGGTAAGTAAAAGTGATCTCCATTTTTACTAGATATTTCATGTATTTTCTGTAGTCGATGATCATTTCCTTTATTCGCATGACCTTAATGTGTGATTCAGGGGTGATATTGTAAGGAGATATTAGATGCCAGTCACTCTGAGGCAAGGTTGCGCTCTAAGAAAAATTGAAGGGAGCCCAGTGCTCTGAAACTGTGAAATCCAGGGTGCCCAGCATATGCTTTTTATGAAATAGCTAAGATTCCTGCGTCACCCAAGAGCAAAAGTAAGACGTTGGGGGTGACTGGGTGCTGCTAGACCACAGCCCTGCTTAGAGGTCAAAGGGTATAGGAAATGTAAGAATTATTTCTGCAACATCAATGTGGAAGACTTGTGATTTCATGGACAATTCTGAACAATTGGATTTGTGCATTACCTAATATGTATTTATATTTACTATATATATAGTTAGTGGTGTAACTATTATTTCTGTAGTATTGGATATTTATAAATTCTGCTTCATGAATGTTTATTCTGCAGAAGACTTAGTGTGGTGATGACTCAACTGCCAGAGCTGGAACAGCTCAGAGAAAGTTCAAGAACAGCTGAGCATAGGGTCAAGGTAAATTGAAGACATATTTTAGACTTCATCATCTTTTGATGACATGTTGATGCAAATGTATGAAGAGACCTTCCAGAAGAAAAAAAAATTGTCACTTACACTTAACAGGGTTGGTTTGAGTTTTCATTTTTTTGGGCCATGTTGTAAAACAGGGTTCGTATGCATCTTGAAAACCTTGAAAACCTAGAAAAGCCTTGAATTTCAGGAGGCCGATTTCAAGGCCTTGAAAGTACTTGAATTTCATTTTGGGTCCTTGATTTTTTATTGAACAACATCAAAAAATATCTGCTTTTGTTTTGCACCCTCGGTAAACCCAAAACATAGATGTTAACAGAAACATTTTTCTTGGTTTTGAGGTAAAATTGTCATTACAAATTAAAAGTCCTTGAAATTTCTAAGTACGGTCCTGGAAAGTCCTTGAAAAGTCCTTGAATATTTGGCCTGAAAAAGTGTACTAACCCTGTATAAAATCAATGCAGCTGTAATTTTTTTTGAAGCATCTCAGCAGGCCAGAATCTAAAATACTTGAATCTGATTGACTAAACCTGCACTCATTACAGGTCTACCTTTTTATAATATTGTCCATGGACTGGACTAATTTTCTGTGTCATTTAATTGTGACAAAGCAGAAAAAATGAATAGGTTATTCACTATTCAAGATCATTTTGTATGGGAAAAAACTGTGCCATTTGTCTCAAGTATGGTCTTTGGCTTTGGCCTTGGGCTATACTCAAGACCTCAGATGCAGTTTTCTTTTTCCCATATGGACCTTGCACGATATGTTTAATTGTCAAATTTTTCTTTTTGTAAGGAATTGGAGCAGAAGTTGTCGCGGCAGGATGAAGCTACAGGACTTGCAATGGCAATGCAGACGCAACTTACAAAGTACAGAGAACTGGAAAAAGAAAATGCTAAGTTAAAAGATGAAAATCATTATTACAGGTACATCTTTTTAGTCATGTGTTTCTTGGATACTATCATGGTAACTTTGCTTTACGCACTGATTTTCCTCTTAACTTACAAAAGCCAAAGGTCAGTGTCAAACTTAAATAAAAAGGTACAGTTCAACCTCAAATATTTGGAATAGTTTGGATAATCAAGGGTCTGTATAATCGAGATTGTGAATATTAATGAGGAACAAAAACTGATTTAATTAAGACAGCAATATTTAATCGTGAAACAAAACATTTACAAATGATTTTGAAAAAAATATAGTCTACATCTTCACTTTCCAAAGAATTTCAGAAGCAAGTATTTCTCTAAGAATTAACAAATGGTAAACACCACAGCGTACACTATTGAGTTATGGATGCACGCGGGAGGTTGCTAAGCACGACAGAAGCGTAAGAGTTGCGTGAGGCGATAGCTGAGAGTGACTGTAGCTTCTTGAGTGCTTAGCAAACCTCCCAAATGAATCCATAACTCAATAGTGTATGCTGTGGTGTTTACCATTTGTTTTATAACATGACATTGATACATTGTAGCTAAAGAGTTCCCTTTTATTTAACAAATCTTACATGACCAGAAAAAAACAAGCGCTCGTGGGAAAATAGTCTTTGCATTTGCTCACATCACCAGTGTACACCCATGGGCAAATGGGGGATACCAAATTGATCAATCAGAGCATGTGCTTTACTTTGGTTATGTTATAATTTCTCTTATGTTAGCCTGAGGAATACCATAGGTGTTTTTTTCTTCTATTTGTTTGTAGTATAGTTCAAATGAAAATCTAAACAGGTGTATACTCTTAAGGGGTTTTCTTATGGTATATGTAACCTTTACTATCAAAGTGTTCCCAGTGAATATCATGGTTTATTATTTATAATTATCAATCTGGTCCCAGTTGGTCAAAGGATGGATAATGCTATCAGCATGATAAATTGCTATCCGGTAGATAGCGCAGTATGTTTTGTTGATGGTTCTCCACTGGATAGTGATTTATATATTGGATAGCTTAATCTGCCCTTTGAATAACTGGGCCCTGTACATAACATTTACACATAGCTAGCCATTTATTATACTCACTATGTGTTTTTTTATGGTACACCATTTTTAATGATTGGCCTTTTAAACCACATTACACTAAAAAGTGCATGTCCTTTTAAATACTTTCAAACTGTCTGCCCATTGACTCTGGCAAAAGGGCTAACACTTAAGATGTCAGCTTAGCAACTCTTTAAAGTGGCCTGTTTGCATTCTCAACTCAGTTG